ATATCCATATTAAAATTAACTAATAACAATTCTATATAAAAAGACTATATACAATTCAAGAGGATGTGGAAGCAGTATCGATTATCCCACCAGCCAGTTCCAACAGTGTGAGCCCCCATCAGGCCCCCAGGCTGTCTGGCATAGCCGTGTGTTTACACTTTTCTGGAAGGCCAGGAGAGCGGAGTTGTCCCTCAGGTGGTAAACTGTAAGCGGAGCGGGGGCCACAGCAGAAAAGGCCCTCTTCCTAGGCCCCACCAGCCAAAATTGCTTGACTGGTGGGGTCTGCAACATGCCCCTTCTGCTGGACTGAGTGGGGAGGGCAGATATAATGGGGGCGAGACAGCTCCTCAGATAACCTGGTCCTGTACCATGAAGGGCTTTAAAGGTAATAACCAACACCTTGAATTGGACCCGGAAGCAAACCGGCAACCAATGCAGCTCGGGTAACAGAGGTTTTGTATCTGCCCCCTGGGAGCATTCAAAGCTGTCCATGCTGCTGCATTTTGTGCCAGCTGTAGCTTTATATTTATTTATATTTATATTCTTAAGGTTACAAAAAAAGACAGGTAAAGTCTCTTGAGCTTAAAAGCTAGCACATATATCTTTGTTTGATTTTTCCATTAGTAAATAGAAGAATATGGACATTATTTGTTGCCGTGAGGCATCTCTCTTTCCTCTTCCCCTTAACCCCACCTTGCTGCTGGCTGACCTTCTGTAATGTCAGCCAGTGTTGGGGAATATTACAGGAGCAAAGAGAGAGACAGAGGCCTAGAACATGAATAACATTCAGAGGTTCCCTGATGATGTTTGCTTGCTATGAAAGGTTGCTGTATCATCAGATGTGTTGAGACCGCAACCCTCCCAATGGTTAGCCAGTATGCTTTTTCAACATGCTGTCTGGGAATTCTGGGAATTGCAGGAAGTGTCATTTTGGAGAAGGAAGGCCTGGAACGCTGTGGCTGAGCTGCAGAAATTTGAGGCACATGGGGTAAGATTAAATGCCTCTGGGCCCAGTTGTGGCTGTGCACCTCCTTTTTCTCCAGTGCTGCAAATTAGAAGCCGCTTTAACCCAAGGCAGAGACCAACCACAGTTGCGTATGAAAGCACTCTGTAGTATATGTTTTTGGCATCATTGTAGTATTCCTATTTTTAAAAGTTAGAAATTTGATAAATAGTTGTCACTAATATAGGAAGAAGAAATACACTTGAGTGAAAAAGATGAGGGCAATTAGCTTGAATGCTGGGTAGGGAGAGATTCCAGATACAGAATTAGGGCAAGTGGAGTCAGGCTTGAGGGATGATTGGATGAAGGGGAGGTACTGGATTTGGATTCTCTATAAAGGAGAATTGTCCATTATTAGCTGTAAAAAGAACAAACAGGTAAAGGAATATTTTCCTGTAGAAAACAAAACGGGATGGATGGATGGATGGATGGATGGATGGATGGATGGATGGATGGATGGATGGATGGATGGATGGATGGATGGATGGATGGATGGATGGATGGATGGATGGATGGATGGATGGATGGATGGATGGATGGATGGATGGATGGATGGATGGATGGATGGATGGATGGATGGATGGATGGATGGATATTTTTTTCAAAACTGCATTCTATCTATCTAATATGAGGTTTGAAAAGGGTTCCTATTAGCCAGATGAGAAGATATTTAACTTTTTTTGCTGCAGCTCAATGAGGAGAACTTCGAAATTACCACACTGAGAATAGATTTGCATACTGATGGGAGACATGCAGAAGTGGAATTCACAACTGACTGGGAAAAAGATGCAGCAAGGAGAGATCTCACAATCAATTCTATGTTCCTAGGTAAGTTATTTTTCCATCTTAAAAGATGGCATAGTGGTTCTATTAATGCTGATTGTTCTCGCACCTGAATGTTCTTCTGTTCCATCTTTATCTCTAGTAGTTCTAGGGCTAGCCCCAGAGACAAGTAGTGTATCCACCTTAGTGAATCTAAGTAGGGGTTGGAAGTCAACTGGAAAATTATCTTGTGTCTGGAGCTCTATATATGCAGTAACTTTAAGTTCCTTGAAGGAAAAACTTGGTATAGAAGTTAATATAAAATTAGTGCCTAATATTGGAAGAGAGATACTGCTTCTAAGCTAAGAATCCCCAAGATTACTAATGGTTTCTGCATCTGCCTTCTATATTTAGTGCCATAATTTACAAGCCCTGTCTGTGGGGCTAATTCAAGAGAAAATGCCACAGACATATAAAGTTTTAACACAAATATTTATTAATATTGGGAAGCTCTTATAGTGGCTGTATTGAGCTGATGTAGAGTGAGTTCTGTTGCTAATCATGATTTTATGTTTTTAAACTGATTGTGAACGGTTTTTATATGTTTGTATGCTTTTTTAAACCTTTTTTATTGTTTTTACCTTTTGCGAGCCACCCAGAGTTGCTTAGATGAAATGGGCGGCCATACAAATCAAATTGATGATGATGATGATGATGGCTGTAGATACCCAGAGAGTAACCTGTTTAGCTCCAAAAAAGATACAAACCACCCCTTTTTTTTTTTTTTTTTTTTTTTTACAATGCTTGCTTGAAAATTTAAAAATAGCCAATCAGAGCATTTTTTCTGGTTCAGGTTACTAGATAGATATCTCCAGATAATTCTACCTCCAAACAGCAGGTCAAGGACACCTAATGCCAACTAATAAATTGCAGCTTAAAGGAAACAGCCCTGCAGGATCATTGCACAGGCTGGAGCCCAGTAAGATGGTGTGTGGGTTTGTTTCCCCAGTTTGCCATGGGTTTTTACAGAGTTTTAATTGATTTTAATGCTGATTTGAGGGGGGGGGGGTTACTATTTTGTACACCAGCCACCCAGGGTTGTTGTTATGATACAAGTATTTTAAAATAAGTAAATAAGTTGCAAACGTCATGTATGCCAATGATCCTCACAATTCAGCCTTGCACAAGTTTAACCCAGGTTTTACATAGTACAAAAAATAAGAGCCTGGAACTGTTATTCTGCTCTCTGTGGCAGCAGTCTGATTCTCCAGCCACATTTCTCCTCCAAGTATGTCCTTGAATGAGGACACTCTGGCATATACTGGTACATTGTTCTGCCATCCTACCCAGTTCCAGAATTCTTCAAAATTAAGTTGTGGATAGTGGGGTTGGTAACATTGTGCCCGTAACTCCATTAAATGGCACATGTAGAATCCCTCAATTTAAAACTTTTAAAATCTTTTAAAATCATCTTTTAAAATAAAGCATGTTAAAATCTTTTGAGATAGCCAATTCCAATGAAATTTGGCAGCATTCTTGCATTAGATGTCAGTGCTGAGAATACTGAAATCTCACAAGATTTGGGGCATATTTTAAAAGAAAAACCACAGTTTAGGTGCCCGTACCATTATAGAGGATGATACAGTAGTGTCTGTTATCCAAAAAAAATGCTGTTAAAGAAGTCATGGATGATCGCTAGCTTAAAAAATGTAGCATGACTTCCTTCCTAATAATCACTTTTCATCAGATCCATCCCTTATCATTGCAACCATTTTTTTGACTTTGGTTTTACAAAGTGAATGTTGTAGCCTAAACTATTTGAGGAATGGTGGTAATCTTGCCTTGGTCAAATGCTAAAGATGAATGGAGCTTCAGAAAGTGCCTTTTTAAATGAAGTTCTAAGTAATTTCTGTTAAAATATGTTTCACTTGCTTGATAGGTTTGGATGGCACTCTTTATGATTACTTCAGTGGTTACAATGACTTAAAGAACAAGAAGATCAAATTTGTAGGAGAAGCCGACCAGAGAATAAAAGAAGATTTCTTACGAATTTTACGCTATTTCCGGTAATAGCTTTATATATCTACATGATAAGGGCACTGGCCAACTGGCAGAGAGTTAGCTGTTCCTTTGTTCATTCCTTGGTAACAGTTAATCTGGAGATCACCTACAGAGCCCTGACTTGTTGGGTTGTGTATGGCACTCAGTATTCATTAGTGGCATTTGGACATCAAATCTCTTTCCACTGTTGATGCTCAGTTTGCCTTGATATTTATAACAGCAATTGTATTCTAAGTCCTAAGACTGAAATTCTTTTCCTTAGATTTTATGGGAGGATAGCTGAAAGGCCTGATGACCATGACACCCCAACTCTGGAAGCCATCAAAGAAAATGCCAAAGGTTTGGGTGGAATATCTGGCGAGAGGATTTGGATGGAATTGAAAAAAATTCTTGTTGGGAAATATGTGAATCACCTCATTCGTCTGATGTATGAACTTAAAGTAACTGATTACATAGGTAAAAAGCTCAGTAGATGTTAATACCTGTACAGTTGTGAATATTAGGGATAGAGATATCATCTGAGTTACATCTTTGATTTTGAAAATGGGCACATACTAATTCTCCTTCACAGATTTTTTTGAGTTCTTCAGTGATCCCAGCTTGGGAATTTTAGAAAATGAAGTCTCACAACTTGCAGGGCACCCAGATTGGGGAAGGGTGTATTAACTGCTAAAAAGATTTTGTCCTTGCATTCCTTAGTGCAGTGTGGACATGCTAGCTGTGGAATTCTGGGAGTTGAAGTCCATACAACTTTGCCAAGGTTGAGAAACACTGCCTTAGGGGGTTACTATGATTGAAATGCCTGCTAGGCCTAAACAAACCCTTGAATGTGTAGCCCTATATTGTACATTGGTTTTAAAGTGGTAGGGCCACCAGAGTTCTGATTTTACCGTTACTTATACTGATCCTGTCAGCCATTGTGTTTGTTTAGCAATTCCAAGTACTGCTTTGTTAGTAATCTTAGTTGACTTCTGGTAGCTTTCTAATGGTTGAAGTATCTTATTCTCAAAATCCTTTTTTATATGTGTCCCTTCAGGATTACCTGTTAATGGGAATTTACAGGAGTTTGACACAGTCTGTAAAAATGTTCAGAATCTCTTTCCAAAACCAATGACCATTCTAACGTCACTGTTAAAGGTTCCAAGTGATCTTTCAAAACTGGATTTAAGACTGAAAATATCAAAAGATGAAAAAAACCTTGGGCTATTTCTGTTGAAGCACAGGAGAGACTTGACCAAAGCTTCTGATACTACAAAGCCCCTTAAGCCATACCAGGATTTCGTTTTAGATGTAAGTGCAATAAAACTCTTCTCATTAATTCTCAACTTTTGTTCAGTTTTTTATTTGATCTGTTTGGAGCCATCTTTGTCCCCATTATTTAACCAAACATATAAACTAGGAGTTAGGAAGAAGACTTTGGGAACATGAGTGCTGGCTCCTTAAAGACAGGCTTGGGTTCCTGTATTGTATGCAGCCACAAATAAACCATATAATGTGTAGGCACCGAAAACATAAAAATTTATATACTCTGTTTTAAAAATTGTGCCAAGTAAAGCTTACACTTTAAGAGACTTAGGATTTATCCGGTTTGAGGTATATTGTGTATGAAATTAGTAATTTAAGAAGAACTATGAGTGCTTCATGCTCAGATCTCTCATTTTGTTGTTTGTATTTGTGAAGTCAAGGGAGGCTTCTGCAGCATCCAGAATCCATGAACTTCTGAAATACCAAGGAGAAGAACAACTTCTGAAAGAAATGCAAGAGTGGTCTATCCCTCCTTTTCCTGTAAGTGGCCATGACTTAAGACAAATGGGAATCTCCTCAGGAAAAGACATCGGGCCACTCCTGCAACAGTTACGAGAACAATGGAAAAAAAGTGATTACCAAATGGATAAAGAAGAACTCTTAAGCTATGTAAAGAAGGCATGAAAGCAAATGGTGATTAAACAAAAGAATGATTTTGTATGAAGTTCTGCCTGCAAATGTTTTTCTTGGGTACATTTTCATTTCAAGGTCTTTCAGAATATCAGGATTATTTGTATTTCAGTTGTAAAACATAAATAGGGTTGTTTTGTGTCCATGTGGTAATATATGAATAAGTTTCATATATTTTTACTGAACTATTGACCCTAAAAAGTGCAGTTCAAGTTGTAATGACTCAGAGACACTTGCATGCAGATTGATTCCTTGGTTCTTCAAAAATAATCCTTGGATTGACTTGACTTTAAGAAATTAACACTGCAGTTGAATGCATGTTTACCTAAAAATTATTTCCATTCCATTCAGTGGGGTTTAGCAAACATGTATTACCTTGAACCTGAGAGGCAGATTCTAGCTAGATTGGATGCTATTAAACATCATTTCACTGAATCTCAAATTACATTATGGACAACAACCTGAAGTTTGAGATTGAAGATTGCTTGTTATTTCAAACAAGCTTTTCAGTAAAAGCATGGCATTTTCTGACATCTATTGAACTGGGCACTTTCCATTCATTATATTTTCCATGCATCTAAAAAGATTGAGAATGAATAAAACTGATTTTTTTAAAATTACAAATTATAGTGTTCCTGCTATGATCAGTAGGCATGGCTTGTGTGCCTCATTTTTCAACTTGCAACATATGTTATAAAAGCTTACAGTAGTTTATAAACTGATCCTATATGACTTATCTAATGCTGCAAAATGAATCAAAATAAGCTCAGTAGGATTAGTTCTAGGCAAATATATTTAGGATTGCAGCCTAACATTTCTTACCAGGTTGTGTGTCAAATTTGGATAATGAGAGGAGATTCTTCCACTAGGTGGCAATATATAGGAGCAATTTTTATATTGCAAACAATATAGGATGGGCAGTTTTTTACTTATGTGCAGCATGAAAGATCCCTGGGTGAGAATGTAGTTGCGAATTCCAACTGGCTGTTCCTGCAGTTTGGACCTCATGAGGACCAGGTCCTAATAATGGGAAATCTGATTTGATCATAATGCTGTCAGGGTACCTTCTGCTGTTTAATATGTGTTAGGTTGTTATCCTATATATTTTGTATTTGTTCTAGCTAACTTTGCTTGTGAGAAACTGGTTTCTGAATCCCCCTCCCCCAACATTGTGTCCTCTAGATGACCCTTAATTCCAAGTCAGTACATGAATGACACCTGGTTGAGGAATATGAGTATGGATACAAAACCCTAACAAAATTTGAAGATACAAACCCTAACCCTAATAAATATATTAGTTTTACAGAAAAGCTGCTGTATTTCCATGATATACACCCCTTTAACCTGGCGAATTAGAGACCTGTTTTCTTCTTTTATCTGCCTTCTCTCCTGGAATTCATTTTAGATTCCATAGGGGTTTACAGACATGCTTATAGAGTCTGTAACATACTATATTTACAGGGGTTGGAGGGGGCAGTCAACATTCCAATTTACAGTGGGGCAAAAAAGTATTTAGTCAGCCACCAATTGTGCAAGTTCT